ATATGTGGGAATGAGATATTCCATATTAGTGGGATTGAGATTGATATCGATAAGTTTCCTAAGAGAACAAGAAATCCAAAAAGGATTAAAATTCTTTTAAAATATGTCTAACATCAATATTTTGCTGTGCCTGTGATGTAGCCCTTCTGGAATGAATCACGTAAATATTTGTGTTCTTGTGGTATGTATTTTTTGTTTTATTTTTTGTATTTTATTTGCCAAATATTTCTTGTGGTACATATTTTTTGCTTTATTTTTTGTACTTTATTTGCCAAATATTAACTCATCGGGTTTAAAGCTTCCACAATCACAACAATGACACCTGGAATAGAGGCGGTGACTAGAAGCCCTAACAGAAAGACGGATCATTAATGTTATATTTTAAATATGGGAAAAGTTTATATAAGGTCACAACCTTAAAATGTAGAATCACATTTGCACCTCAAAAATATATCGGAAGTGTTGTTTTAATGTTGAAAAACCCTCTAACAGATCATCACGACATCGAGATGTATGAATATAAAAAAAAAAAAATCTAAAAATAGTGCATCTTTCATCACATTATCTAGAGTGTCCATTTTCAAGAGTTTCATATATTTATGGATCTATTTGATTTTAACCATTTTTGAAATTTAAAATTTTCTAATTAGATATGAAAATAGATTTTAAGATAATCCTAAGAATTTTCTACAACAAAATTACATGATAAAATTTGGAGGTGCGCCTCATAATATGTATGCTTTTTGCATCCTATAAAAGCCAAAAAAAAGACTTGACCAGCCCCTCAAAACTGCAGGTGGGGTACCCGACGGGTCCGAATCTCTTGATAATTAAAGATACACCTTACCAAATGACTCTCTCTTATATTGCCCTCGTTCTCGAACTTACCCCCTTCCTCTTTGTTGGGAATGAAGGGAATAATATTTTCACGATGCATGTTGTATTAAAGAAGGGATTGAAACGTAAAATATTGTCAACTGTAGCTGACTGGGTATAAGGGAAGTACGGCATGAACGACAAACTATGGCTCAGTTCAGCCCAGCCCGGCTCCGCATAACTTGTTTAGTCCCACCTCCTGTAAATGGGTGAGAGGGAGTCATATTCACAAGGTGAAATGCTCTCTATGTGTTCATGGAACAAAGGAGAGAGAATCCACGTGTAGAGATTGCAGGGCACATGTGCGCTTGCATATGTGGGGGACAAGGGCGCACTTTATGCACAGGCATCCTTAACCTTTGCACGTGTAGAGTTTGTCTACTCTCTTGGACTACGATACATGGTGTTGCTAAATACCATGATTTATACTATAGAATAAAAAAATACGAAAGGGCAAAGCATGCCTTTAGCCTATGCACGTGTTTTTTGGTTGGTATGGAACAATGTTTGCTGGGGACCTCATACGCCTCAAACTCATGGTTTGTTGATGATCAGGTTCGCTATGGCTCATACTGTTGGGAACTAGATTTGTCGTAGCTCTTAATTCCTTGCGAATCAAGGTCGTCGCGCTATGTGTAATTGGCCAAATGTGTGATGCACATGTGCATATGTCCTTCTCACCCTTATAGCTTTGGATTTTGCTCAATTTTTTCTTTTTAAAAAGTTCATCGATGGGTTGAAATTTTGCAGTGTATTACTTAAAAGCACAATTTTATCCAGAATTTTAGCTCGATTTTCAAGTTACGATTTGTTTCAAAATGAAGCTCATAGCTCAATTTTCAAGTTACGATTTGTTTCAAAATGAAGCTCATTGAAATATCTACCTTTTGTAGACGAAAATTTAAGTATAGAGTCAAATCTCTAAACAATCAAATAAGAGTGAACCTGTAAATAGTGTTGAGATATGTGATTTTAATACTGGAAATCTTCGTGATAGTTTTAAAATATACTTTAAAGCTTAAAAAATAGTGTAGATCAAGCAGATTTAAGAAAACTTGAAAATTG